TTTAAGAAGGAAATTTCAGGGGAAAAAAACTTAAAGGACCACTATAGTGCCAGGAAAACATACTCGTTTTCCTGGCACTATAGTGGTCCTTTAAGTTTTTTTTCCCTGAAATTTCCTTCTTAAAATGAGGAGCGTGTTATACGCCGGTGCGTGTTATACGCCGATAAATACGGTATATGTTTGTGTTAGTTTGAAAAGATGTATCTATACATTGAACTAGCCATATTGCAAACAAATGTATGGATTTGTGTAAAATGTACAAACGTTTAATGATGTCACCTCCCCAAATCTTTTCTTGGTATACAACCAATTGCAGACATTCGAGTGTATGTTGAGAGTTGACTGACAGGTGGAGTGCAGGAGAACCTTCCTATAGGCTATTCTATTACACAAGCAGCATATAAGCTATAGCAAACTGAGCTTTCTGGACGTCAGGAGAATTTTTATGCCGTGACCAATTGGTTCTCTCCTGTAGCTATAAAGCCAGACTATCACAATAAATCAAAAATGGGAAGCAAAGTTGAATTGTAGGATGTTTCTACTTTAAATTCCCGACAGTTCAAGCTTTCTGTGAGCTATGCTTAATGCTATGATGTTTGCTAAGTGACATTCCCCACTGATTGGACCATTTCCATCCTATCCTGAATGAACCTAAGATACCTACTAAACTTTGGAAGGTACCAAACTCTTCATTTGTTTACTATTGCTACATTTAAATTTTTTTAAAAAATATATATATTTTGTTATGGCAGCATTTGTCAGCTTTTGATGGATTCAAAAAGGAAAAATACACAGGAATTACATATGTGTGAGTTATAGTAAAACTGGATCAATGACAGCCTTTGTTAATAAGGCAGAAAGTGAAGTTACCAGTGTGCTGATGGGCTATCTTCAGAGCTTTCCGTATTCGGAATCCATGGGGACTGAAGAAGTAGATTAGGTCACTGTGGTACGGGAAGATACAGATTCTTCTCTCCGTCAGATATGAGATTTCATAGATGGCTTTGATGTAAGCGTTCTCACTGAACAAAAAGAAGGATTAACATTAGTTTAAAACAGAAATATAACTCATGTCCACATAGCTGAGCCAGTATATTGGAATTTTTTCATGTGCAATTTTAAAGTGTATTCTTTTCTCTAAGTCTTCGTTAAATACGGACTTTAAGCCCAAACCAGACAGGGAAGGCATTGACATCTGATTGATGTGCAATGTATGATGTCACAGATCTTACTAAGTGATTGGCATAGATATAGATATAGATATGATTGGCAGTGTATGAACTGTGTGTGGCGGTGAGTGATATGCATGATGCTTGCGTTGGCTGTATGTGCTATGTGCGAGTGTTTATTTAATTTTTTTAAATTAAGTTAATATAATAGAAAATGTTTTGCACCCTCTTTGGCTTAATTTTTTTTTTTTTTGCAGGGAGGGGGCTAAAATCACCTGGTGGTCCAGCGGGGGCTATCTTCCCTGGTAGTCCTGCAGGAGTTAATAATAAATCCATGGTGGTCTGGTGCA